CGCGAGTTTCGTTCAGCGTTTGCGGCACACAGACGGGTCCGAATTTCCATTAGACATTTTGGAGATTATTTGCTTTCGTCCGAGGACCGCCAGAAGTGCTCCCCTCCCCCTTTCTCTTTTCTGAGAACGGCAGGGAAATTGTAACGCAAGTATCGTTATCCCCCAATCCACGAAAATACAGTGCCAGCAAATAATACTCCACAGAATGAATTTTGTGAACGAAAAGTGCTAGCCCATCCCAGCGTCGCAGCGCTTAAAAAAAGCTTGTATTTGGCAGTTTTCATTCACCGACCTACAAGGTATTAGAACGTCCCGCCGCGCTGGTCTGGTGGCTAAGGTACTCGGCTGCTGACCCGCAGGTCACGGTATCGAATCCCGGCTGCTGCGGCTGCATTTCCGGTGGAGGCGGAAATGTTATAGGCCCGTGTGCTCAGATTTGCGTGCACGTTAAAGAACCCCAGGTGGTCGAAATTTCCGGAGCCCTGCACTTCGGCGCCTCTCATAATCATATGGTGGTTTTGGGACGTTAAACCCCACATATCAATCAAGTCAACAAAGCATTAGAACGTACTGAACAGTTCTCCGGACTGAACTAAATATTAAAAGTCAAGATTTCAAAGCTACTTTACAACACGCATTCGGTCTTTTTCTCCCAATCTACTTTTTCACTAGAAAAAGCTTGACGCTGCCGATCTTTTGCTCCGTATAAGCAGATTTATATGACGGAAGTCATATCATAACTAAAAAAAATGCCCACAGCTGTCGCATCTAAGGGGCCCCTCTTCGCCATGATATACCCGCGGTCATGTACCTCATTTTTGACAAATGCCAGCCCACTATCGCGATCAAAAAGACATGACCGACGTCAGTCAAATATCGCTTTTTCCGTCTCGCTTTTCTTTTACTCTCTCTTATTTTCACTAAGTGCAAAATTCTGCTTTACTGTGACGATTGTGCACGTCAGTTACAACGTACACAACCAATACCTTAGAAACTTTACGCTGCCAACGATAACCTTCAGACAATAGCTAAAATAACTTCTGAAATGGCGGTTTTCTCAAGCTATGTGTTTTACAGAGGCATACCCATGTACATCAGTCCGATATGTAGAGGTCGTGCTGTAGGGTTTGAGGGAGGGGGAGATAAAATGCGACAAAAATGTCGACCAGCAAAAAAAAAATGCCGAAAAAAAATTTTTTTTCTGCGTCTGCCGGGGTAGCCCTATAATTAAAATCGTGAATATTAATTTTTATTTCACTACTTACAAATTAACATCAATGCAGAAACTTTCATTCGGTTACAAGTTATCTGTTAAGTAAATATTTCCATGTTTCCACCGTTCAAAACATAATTTTAAAGATAAATTAACAATGCTCTTGGTGTTTCATTTTGCCCCAACCTGCAGGGTAAAACGAGATTCTGCGTATGGCAAAATGAGACAGTGTTGAAAAAAAAATCGTTCCTTTAGTTTCTGCAGCAGAAAAGCTTGAAATCACCTCTGCTAGCCCTTAAGCCGGCTTGAGGATCTCGGTCATTTGATTTCATGCATTGAATCTGGAGAAAACTCGGTGTTGTGTTGCTCCGAAAGTCCTTGCAGATCAAACACCAGCCTTTATTTGCGCTAAAGTTGTGTTTTGTTAAACGCTTGTACCTCACTAGGTTATTCAACAATAGGGGGATATAGATGTGTTCTGACGTATCTTGTTCACTTTTTTTTTTTGCCGTTTTTATCCAGAACTGCTGAGGTTTTTAACCGCGTCCGCCGGGCTTTGCGAGGCAATGAATTTAAAACTGTGCTAAATTAGGATTTTCTAGCGCTTGTTTTTTCTTTTCAATTAGGGTATTGGAGAAACGTCGTTAAAGCTCGATCCCAAGATGTGTTTGTGAACGACATTGGTGGCGGGTTACCGGCTTTCAACCATGAAGTAATTATGATAATCATAAACCCTGACGCCCGATAGCAATGAGCGCTTGTACCACGCATTATTACTGCAATATTTCATGAAGCATGTCTACGGGATGCGTGTGTTTGTACATCTTGCGTTACCTTCACTGCATTTCCAAGCAGAGGAAGTTCTTTTCACTGTATTCACAAGCAGACGCGCGGACTTGCGGTAAAACAACAGCTTGCCACGCTAACGACCTGGTTTCGCTCTCCGCTCAGACCCAAACGACCCGGGTTCGATTCTCGCTCTGACTCAGTTTTTTTTTTTTATATACGAATCGTTCTCAATTTTTTAGGTCTCGCGTAAGATGATTTTTCGCTTGCAACCAATGATGCCGATGCCGGAGTTTCTGCGAAACAAGCTCTTTAACGCTGCCGCGCTTGAAAAGAAAAGAACAGTCATGTGCCTGTGCGGCCAATAAATAAAATAAACGGTCATCATTACCATGAACGGGTATGTGCCACCTAAATTGAAGGCATGCCACTACTCGTCGCTGGTCTCCTACAATTCGACATATCCTGTGTGACTGCTCGAAATACAACCTGGAAAAACACCTTTCTAATACACTAAACAGGTTAGATGACCAGCCGCTGTCAGAATAAAGTATACTGCACCATCGTCATGACTCATCGTCACAGAAGAAAGCCGTGCAAGTGCTACTGGGCTTCTTGCGAACTACTGGCCTGTCGGAACGCCTCTGAGTGGACTGATTTTGTGTGTGCGTGTGTGTCGGTGTTTTTCCATTATTTATTTTTTTACTCTCCCTTTCTCTTTCAACCCCCTATTCCCCAACCCCAGTGTAGGGTAGCATACCGGATACTAGCATCTGGTTAACCTCCCTGCCTTCCTTTTTTCTCGTTTCTCTCTCTCTCTCTCTCTCTATCTATCTATCTATCTATCTATCTATCTATCTATCTATCTATCTATCTATCTATCTATCTATCTATCTATCTCTACAAATCAAGACAACAGTTGCCCCAACAAGGCACTGCGCCGTGTCGCCTGAAGGCACACAGAAATTAGGTGCCTTTTTCCTCTTCCTTCTAACCACTACCACCACCACAAATGGCTGCAAAGCGACGGCGGCCAGCCGAAGACCCCGAGTACGCGTCTATAGGGAACGGGAAAAGTTATGGTGGCTGCAGCGAGAAGACGGCGAAACGCTCGAAGGCCTACTACGCCAGCTACGAAGCGCCCGTCGATCTGTGCGGGTCGCGAACGTTCGAAATCAAAATAGAAATAAGCTTGAATCTCCTATCTATAGCCCATAGCGACGGCGTAGAGGCAACAAACAAGCCGCAGCACCAAGCTAAGGCCTAGAAACAACCTATAGAAGCAACCTGTATAGTCACCAGAATCGCCCTGTTTCGCTGTTTCAAGCCTTGCGTCGCTTATTGCAACGTTCACCACATTTCTCGATATTATTATTAATATTATTATTATTATTATTATTAATATTATTGGTAGTAGTAGTAGTAGTAGCAGTAGTATGACGATGGTGAGAATAATAATATTATATAAAGGAGATCTCCGTATATGATGAAGCAGCAGCATCAGAGAGCAAAACAGGCTTTATTTTTATTTTTTTGAACGACTGTTTCAAGATGATATATAGCTCAAGTAACCGTAATCACCGTAAGGAAGGAAGAAAAAGAATGGGCATACTAACGACTTCTCTTTTTTATTATTTTTTTTGTTCGTGGTGCTCGTTAAGGGTGAGTCGCCCTTTTGGACTATACGTGAACCCCCCCCCCCTCCCCCTCTCTGTCCCTCGTCAAGAAAATCTTTCTTTTCATCGCAAAGTGAGGAAGCACAATTACGTGCCCACCTATGTAAGCCAAGCGTGTAATGAAACGGAGTTGGAGAAAAATACTAAATCAATTGAAAAAAAAAGAAAAGTTGAACGTGACCACTCCGCCGTCGTGCCATCGCCCTTTAAGTAGCGGTGCGCGCACGTAGAACCGGTCGGAGAAGGGGCGGCGAGGAGCCGCAATCTTTGAAGATTACTGTCATTTAGGGATTACTGTTGCGAGCTCTGGACTGCGTCGCAAGGGAGGTAGGCTGGCTGATAAATGGTGAACGCTAACGTGCCCCGTATACATTTGCATACGCACGCGGCGGCCGCCTAGACACCCGGAAGGTGTGAGTGAGGGTGCGGTGTATAGCATCGCGCATGCTTCCCAAGATTATCAAAGCGAAGGAGAGAAAGAGACAGCTTGGCCTAAGTGAGGAGAATGGCGCCACCGTTAGTATAGTTCTCGTACTCGTCGTGTTGTCTCTTAAACGACGGGGGGTCGTGAACGGGCTTAGGACTCTAAGCCTAATTTTGTCGTTGGGCCTAACTTAACGTTCCCGGAGGCTGATACTCAGTGGTATTTGGCATTGCTTGCATCACTCTGCTCTCACTGTAGTTTGTCTCAGGCAAAGCCCGGCGTTGTGATATTCATGAGGACCACAGAGGGAGAGATGAACTTTATCGTAAGAGTACGTGACGTTATTTGGTGGTCTTACTTGCAAGGAGGAGGGGGATTCCTTAGTTGAGGTCGTGCAACCCGGCCGCATCATGCCTTGCCCTGTGTAGTTGTCGCCGTTACCGGTGATAACCTTTTCGTGCAGTGCATTCGATGCACGTTAGAAATAAAAAAAAACAAAAGGACTGATCGTTAAAATTTATCCCGGGCATGTATCCGATAGACACGTCTCGTAAATTGATCGTAGTTTTATGGGCGGTTGAAACACTGGAACATTAGCTTCAGATTTACTGTTATGTTATCCAATTACCGACAGTGATTGAACGTTTTTTGCCTATGGAGCAGCAAGATGTTTTGTAACTTTATTAACGTAGCGCTCGGGACCTCACCAGTTTTTCTTGATTATTTTACGGCTGTTACCATGGTGGCGCCTGTTAGAACCCATGAAGGGCTCGCTGGCTCATTCATTCCTTTATTCATTCGCCTTTTACTTCTATATTTATGAGTGTGTACGTTAACTAATTCTTACGCCAGAGTACATCACTATTGTTTTCTTACTCTTCCCGTTTCTCATCCCTTCTAGGAGCACCTCAACTATATCGGACGAGATGAAGGTTCGAATCCCTTCGTTCTGTCGCTCAAGTTGGAAACGATGGAAGAGGCGAACGATCACTACAGGGTCATACTTAGGTGAGGCTAAAAATGGTTGCCGTTATTTATTTTAGCACGTTCCCCTTTATCCCTTCCCCAGTGCAGGGTAGCAAACTGGATGTGCGTCTGGTTAACCTCCCTGCCTTTCCTTGTATCTTTATCTCTCTCTCTCTCTCTCTCTCTCTCTTAGGTGAGTGAAGCTTTAAGGGTCCCTAAACCACTTTGAGTTCAACGACGAGAGAGTCATTTCGTTCTCACCTTTGATACCCTAGCTGCAGGCGCCGTCACCTCTTCGCCACTTACTTCACCGCAAAACACATGGCAATGTCAGCACTAACCGTCGATCTTATCAGGATTTCGCACTTCTCTTTTATTAATATAAGGAAATGTTCGTGCGCAAGCAAGGCGCCGGCTACTCCTTAGCCCTCGATTGAATACTGAACTTCGACAGCTCAATGTTGCGCCGCCGAAAACGGACAAAACGAAGCGAAATCGGCTGATCACGAACCGTTGTCATACGAGAGTAGGCTCGCGGCCGTTTATCCCAGGCACAATCTGTCTTGACTGGATTGTCACTCATAATGGCTGGCGACAGACCGCTTTATGTGAGGTATACTTCGCGCTGAATTGAGACAGTGCCGCTTACCTACCGGATGTTAAACGGTACTTGATTAAGAGTGTAGAACAGGGACGCGAGTGCATAGGAAAGAAAGATAGAGGACAACTCACAAGTGATATCCTTCTTGTATCGACCGATCAAGAGCTCATTTCCTGGTGACCTCACGTAAACAGACTGCTGTCGTCACTAATCGTGCTGAAAAAGACTATAAACGCCAGGAGAGACTAACACACTCTTTCTTTGCATTTTATGAGGTTTTTGAGGGTTTTTTTTTTAACGATGAAGCGATGGCGTTCAAGCCCCCAATCATGCTGCCTGGTGCTGACCGCGTTTTTTTTTTTTTTTCTCTCTTGCGAATTCAGAACAAAAGAAGGCATCATTAGCGAACTGGTACCGAATGATCCAAAGAACGATCTCTGGACGGCAGCTCGTCTTGTAAAGGTAAGTATTGTCGTAATCATTCGCGAGCCTCCACCAGGTCTACGTGCGTCCCTCCTGCGCGCTTTCGCGGAGACATTTTGTAACACTTTTCGTTCTCTCATATTTTTTCCCTTCAACAGTCCTTACGTGACAACATCAACAATGTGGTGCTCCAACCAGTGTTTTTTCCAAAGGTAAGTGGAACTTCGTGATTTCTTGTCAAGTTCAATAAAACCTGACGTAATAGAAAAAAAATAAAGTATGGATAATTACAATCGATTGCATCAGCGTAATATGAAGTCATACAAGAAAAGAAAAAGTGTGAAAAAAAATCTAAAAATACGCGACTCACATGACAGGTCGCACTATCAACTTCAAGTCGCAAGTGCTATTGAGCTCAAAAACAAATATATGGCTATGTAAAAAGATAACTAAGAAGGGGCAGGTTTTAGTCTAAGTTCAGAAGGACAAACAGTATTCGCTTGCGCCCCGAAGAAGTGAACTTCAGTGAAAGAATGGTCCTGACTTCTTGCGACACCACTGCCACACATGCCAACACACATATACACACGACACGTGTGTATATGTGTGTTGGCGTGTGTTGGGATGCGTTGGTGCGTGTGTGTGCTGTCGCTTGTGTGGGTGTTTGTATACAGTGTTGCTGACGTATTTACCGTGAGAACGGGGGCGTGTTAGTACGCCGCGTTCGCTGACGTTTTTCCGCTTTTCTTTGCTTCTTTTCCGTTCTGCAGGCTTCCGAACTCCTGATGGCATTCGACGAACAAGTTCTAGTCCACGAGTACAAATTTGGAGTCGTTTATCAACGGGCCGGCCAGGTATGTGTGCCGCAAAAAAATAAACAGAAAAACTAGACCCGAGGGCCTTTGTATAGTGCTCGCCATAATAACGAGCTTATTCGACGGACAAAAATAGAGAGAGAGGGGGTAGAGAGAGAGAGAGAGTGAGTGAGTGAGAGAGAGAGAGAAAGAGAGAGAGAGAGAGAGAGAGAGAGAGAGAGAGAGAGAGAGAGAGAGAGAGAGAGAGAGAGAGAGAGAGAGAGAGAGAGAAGGTCCAATCGTGAACACAAATGTCGGACAACAGTACGGGCCTGCGTCTTCTTTTCGTTCCTCCTCATCCTTTTTTTCATTTGTCCATTCCTTTACTTCATCTTGCCTCGACTTGCGCAGTGTGCATTTGCATTTTCGCAGAGGGTAATTAGTGTCCCGTTTCTCGTGTGGGAGGGGGAGAACGCTAATTACTTTATCTTAGCAATTTGCTCCGGCAAATTGATTGGGCGAAGACGGGCACGGAACCGAGATGCACCGTGAATACTTAATTACCACTTTCCTTTCCATTAAGAAGGACGAGAGAGGCTTCGCCGATGAGGAGTGCATGTCGATTTGCGTTCAGAGCTATTTGAGATATTTCGTTAGCGGAGCAATAAGGAATGACCATCTGCTGTCACTCAAAGCCTTAACACGAAGGGAATAATACTGCATTATGGCATCACAATGGCAGGTTCCCGATTACGCTGTGTTATGTAACGCAAACGTATTGTAACTATTTTTACACTATTACAGCTTGAGCTGTGCACGACGCTTTTTTGTTTTTTAATTTTATTTTTGTTTTTTTGTGTGTGAAACAACCTCGATTCATCCTAGTGTTGCTGTCGCTCTCTATGTGAGTGTAATTCACATATATAAATGATGTAAGAACAACAACAATGGAGAGGCTACGTCATACGCATCCTAGAACTATCAACAACGAAAGCAGGTTAAAGAGACCCTGAAATCTTTTGTCATGTCAACATTGTATGACCGATTTACCGGAATCGATATTCTGAACAGTCCGATTGCGCAATAGTTTTTAGAATCCGGCAGGTATACAAGCGCAGCTACAGCGATTTCTCGCACGTTTTAAACGGTTTCTCTCTCTCTTTTGATCCCAGCGTGTGTACTAAAAGTTGCAAAAGGGGGGAGGGGTGCCAAGAAGCAAGTAGTTACATCTGTAAGTCAGTGCGCGTCATGACCTTCAGCCCTTCCTCATTTTATTTTTGTTTTTACGCGTGTTCCACTTTTAGCGTGATCACGAGCGCGCTTGCCTTATTATATATTGTGCGTAACTCCAGCACTGCAGAGCAGCGCGGCGTGGATACGTGGCGGCCGCGCTAACTATACGCAACTTATGATGCTCAAGTCTGCTAATGCGTGCACGTGTCCGCGAGGTTATTACGCAGTCGGGCATAATTTTTCCAGAGAAGAGCGAGGCATTCCAAGCTCACCTTGCAACTTAATGTTGAATTCATGCCACGTGCTGCGCGATACCATTGTGCGCACACGTTCACAAGAGCCTCGATTAACGATCCGTAAAACTTTCTGACCATGTTGCTAACCCCTTATAAGTAGACACGATGACACGCTGTAGACCTAGACACAGGCACGAAAACAATGTTTTTCACATGAAAGTGTTTCATGCCGGAGCCCACCAAGTCTTCAGTGACGTATTTCCGTCACGGAAATTACCTAAAAATGCACGTGATCAGATCGCAAAAAAAAATCGCAGCATATCCACGGAGTGTATGATGATAAGTGGGGCGAAGCGTCCGTCATTCCGTCCGCGCATCCGTCCATGCGTCCATCCGTGCATCCATTTGTGCATCCGTCCGTCCGTTCGTCCGTCCCTGCTTCATTCTGTCCGCGCGTCCTGCTGTTTCTCCGTGCATCCGTCGGTTCGTGCGTACGCATGGACGTACAAACCGACGCACGTGCGTACGCATGGACGGACGCACGGACGTACGTCCGTGCGTCCGTCCGTCCGTCCGTCTGCCTGTGCGTGCATCTGTCTGTCCGTCCATGCGTGCGCGCGTCTGTCCATCCATCCGTCTTTCTAGTGAACACTCCAAATACCACCATATCGCATCTTTTTATCATATATACATTATGTAGAAGTACCGCCATCCAGCAGACGTTCCAAGTACTAAACGAGAGGTGGCGCGGCCGGACCAGAGGAGCGGCACGCGCGCACTTTTTTATGGCCTGCGCTTCGTGTCTAGTTCTCACCTTTCCACCGCCGCTAGTTCAGGACACTGCGGCCAACCCTCGCTAAACCTTGCTAAAACCAAGGAGGTTATGCCCAGCCAGTTTAACGCGGAAACCTTTTCTGGGCAGATAGCGCTCAAAATGCGTCCTTCTGTTACTAGTTTTTTTTAGTAGGGATCGAATTCCAGAGAATTTTTATTAAGTCACCGATACTCGTCTCTGTACGTCATTTCATCAGAAACAAGTATCTCTTTATTTATGGTTAACCTGCGCGGGTTTCCTCCTCAATTCTAAATGGTGCGCGCGTGCCATTCCTCGTTTGGTCGTGGAGGTGGCTACCTAGTACTACGACGCGCTACTACTACTACTACTAGTACTACTACATACATACGCACATACATACATACATACATACATACATACATACATACATACATACATACATACATACATACATACATACATACATACATACATACATACATACATACATACATCGCCGACGCACGACCCACGGCTTAAGGAGCTTCGCCCCTAAACTATTCCGTCACCGGAAGTCGAGCCCGTGACTTTCTGTCCGCGACAGCAACGGCTGGACAAGATATCCGCTCCGCCACGATCACATGCTCTGGAGGCTTTACAAACGCACCTTTCCCATCACACTCTTTCATCTCATGGTGCTGTTGGTCGGCGAGGTGGTGTCGCCCTCTGCGTGTGGTAAAGTGTGGTATTGCGCCATGACCGTGGCCTCCGCGACTATATGCTTCTACAACGCATCGTTTTGCGCCCGTCCACTTGGGCGCGTTTCTAAAAGAAGTGCATTTTTTAAAAATGCATTATCACACAGTGAGAACGTTAGCCTATATAGGCGGCAATTTTGCTGATAGAATCTATCCGTATGCCAAAAACATAGCTTTGCGGTGCGCGTCTGCCTTTCTTGTCTGTAAACCCACCGCTTTACGCGCTTACGCTTGCCCCGAGAAAATCTCGGTCGTTTCACTGAGGACACGTGTTACATTTGTGTCCTACTGTTTTCTATGACAAAGTGACCAACCATGCTTTTATTGTCTCACTTTCTTCCTGAGGTACTCATCGTGAAGTTGCACATTTTAGATAACCCGTTCATGTAGTCACAAGTAGGAATGAGGAAAAAAACAAGAAAAGCTTAAGAAGGACATGCCGTACTGAAGTTGTGAGCAAGTTATTGTGAGTGACAAGCTGCTTAGCATTAAAGAAAAATAAAGAATAGCATCCTGAAAGAGCCGAAGCTCCTTGTTCCTTGCTTTGTGTGTAAACGAAGGTCGGCACACATTGCATGCGTTGCAAAACTTGTTTTCTTTGTCAACTAATCATTAGGGGCATGGTAAGATTTAAGGTTGTGGATACAACTCATTTCGCGCTAACTGCGTTGTTTATATCATTTTATTTATTTATTTTACCTAGTTTGTACATCGGCAGATCCTCGCAACTTCGAGAGCGCTGATTCGTTTCGCGCTGTTTTATTCTGCAAGTTCCTGTTTTTCAGTACAACTGTAAAAAAATCGCTACTTTTTTTTTTTCAATTCTTCATACTTTGAGTTCCAGCCATGAATCCATGAATACTTCGGTACGATACACATTAGTGCGTTTGAAAGTGAAAATAAAAATAAAAAATCCTTTCACCGCTTGATTAACCAAGCGTGTGGTTTAAGCTTCATTTAATTTAATGCTTGCCTAATTGAAATGGAAACAAGGTACCGCTAGGCTGGATCATATATCGACAGCGTTAGGGAATGCGAGAAACGATGAAAGAACGGAGGCGCGTGGTAACGACGGTTTAAAGCACTTAAAAAGTGTTCGTGTCTCATTACGTTGTCGCTTTGACTCTAAATTTGTTTAATTCGTACCCGCCGCCACGAGTGAACAAAGAGTTTAGTTTAGAATTTATGAAATCGTGGTTTTAGGCGCGAGAGGCCACTGCGAATCGCCATGTTTGTTTCTTTTTTTTAGGGTATTTCGGAAACTTTTCGGATTCATTTATGCGTCGTTTGGCTTGTTGCTTACAGTCTCTCCCCTAATGTCGTTATCACTCTTTCCTTATCTCCCAAGATAAGGGAGGAAGAGCTGTTCGGAAACCGCCACCACAGTGCTGCAATGGAAGAGTTCCTAAGCATGCTGGCCGACAAAGTCACGCTCAAGGACTTCTCCGGGTAAGCACGTTAAAATTGTGCCTCGCAACGGTATCGTGGTTTGCTGCTGATAAAAAAAAACCCTTGAGGGATAACGCTTAATCTCGAAACCACCGCTTCATTCCCATCGAAGTGACTACCTCTATCATGTGCATTCTCAGATAACATTGTGCTACCAAAATATGCGGCAGCATTCGCGCGCTTCGAAACTCGAAGCGTGCGATCGACGATAAGATTCTCTAACAACATGGTCCTCTGACCTTTGTTTCTAAGTGTGTTACAAAATAAACAATGTAATCTCTAGGTGCATTGTTTTATCGAAGTAAACTTTGTTACCTCAATTCAGCTACACTGTAGTGCGGGCGGCTTGTACAAAGGCTTTTTGTCAGAAAAGCGTAAAACTATTCTTTCAGCAAAATTCTCTCGACTTTTGGGCGCAAATAGTCTACAAACCTCTTCCTTGTTACTTTTTTTTCTCCTAGACGGACGTAAATAGCGCAATAATAATGATTTGATGCGATATAGTTGTTGCTGTGGTAAATTTAATGTACATATAACGCACGCAACTAATGATTGCGAGACCAACGAATCACATGTAGGTTCACCTCGTTTGTTTTAATGGCAGCGCTTTTCGAAAGGCTAGAATATCGTTTGAGGACCATATTTCTATGAATGATAAATTAATAAAGTTACTTTGGTCGCCGTAGACAGCGTACGAGCTCGACCCTCCAGGGTTGTAAAGCGGTGATGGTGCTTCACTAGTGACGTACCTGAAGGTCGCGGGATCGAGTCCCAGCCTAGGCCGCCGCATTTTCGGTGGCACTCTAAACTGCCACAGGCCCGCGTACTTTGATATAGGTGCACGTTAAAGAACGTGGCTAATACTTTCCCGAGCCCTCCGCTACGGCGTCTCTTATAATAATATCGTGGTTTTACGACGTGAAGCCCCAACAATTCTAGCGGTATACGAGCCCCAGTTTATTGCAGTGTGTGTGTGTGTGTGTGTGTGTGTGTGTGTGTGTGTGTGTGTGTGTGTGTGTGTGCGTGTGTGTGCGTGTGTGTGAGAGAGAGAGAGAGAAAGAAGTTGGAGCCTGAGCTTTGTTCCATGCAAGTGTTTGGGTCCCAAAGTAAGCATTTGTGTGCTTGCATACAAATTTCTTTTAGTCCTCTACTCAGACTCACTTCGAAGGCCTATCTCAGCCTTTGGCTGTCGTGCTTTCGTGCCGTGCTGCCACAGTTCTATAAACTCAAGCTACATTAAACAATAATACTTGTGTTTGTATATATATATATGTATATATATATATTACGAGAGGATGTTTCATTCCCTGAGGTCACTGTAAATGGGGAGACCCCGGCAGCCCTCTTTGCTCGTCCATTACGGTTCGCATTAAGTTTGGTCACATTTCGCACCTCAGTCACGTTGTAGGCGGAGACGCCGTAATTATGACGCGTCCCCCCCTCCTATTATCTCCGAACGTTTCTTCTTTTTTTTTTAACGTCTATCGCTCGCTTTTACCCTTGCCAGGTTCCGCGGGGGCCTGGACACGCAGCACGGCCAGACGGGCCAGGAGTCCTTCTACACGTCTTTCAACGGCTGCGAGATCATGTTCCACGTCTCCACACTGCTACCGTTCACCGAGGGAGACGTGCAGCAGGTGACCTCGACCTAGTTGGTTATTGTTTTGTCTTTTGTTTCGTTCTTGTTTTCGTTTTGTTTTTATCTCCGTCTAAACAAGTACGAATAGCATCTACACTGCTTTTCTTCCACTATCACTGTTGTTTAATCATATGAATGACTCTTCTGGCAATATATTTATGAAAAAATCGACTTCAATGTGTGCTTCTTTTTTTTCATTGTGTCATAGTGTGTTGGTTACCAGCGGCACTTTAGGGATATATCTTCCTAGCCTCCTACGTCCTGATGACGCTGTAGTCATTACGTCAACAAGATGTATATGAGGAATGCACGTGGCATATAAGTCATGCATATATTGACATGAGTGGCGTAAATATGAAGATGCTGTAGTGGTGATGGGTATCGGAGCATGCTGAATATTTCACTGCGTCGTCGAGCAGCTCGATGAAGAACACGCTAAAAAATTCAACCAGAAGGCGCAGTCTCCTATCCACTTCTACTGCCTGTGTGGTGACATTGCTAAGATTCCGATTGCATTCAGTGCCCACTTGCGACGCAACTAGACATTGCAATCAAAAGTAACTAGGTGCGATACGTGTGCTGGTTTTTTTTTTTTTATCCTAGCTCGACATTACTGCTCTGTCACATCTTGTTCATGGCAATGTGCTGTTATGCTGCTTAAGTGGATCAAATCCCAGCATGTACACGTAAGTGAATTAATGCCAAGAGCCTTGATGAGTGCTGGTCCTCATCGCTTTACTGAGTTTCTGCTGAAATTGCTCGAAAGGTGTGATTGCTTGGCGGCCATTTCTTCCTAGGAAGTGCCATAGTGGAGCTTCACCATGGAGTGTTCAGATAAGTGGCCCTTCTATGGAACTTCTTGTTCTTCGCGAGAAGACGGAAGTGACAGCGACGAGTCGTCGCTCGAAGTACACTAACTGCCTGTACACGGCATTCCGGGACTTCCAAGGTTCGAACCAAAGTCGTTGTGTCATTCCGTCGTCGTCAGCGAAAGTATACGCCTACAACTCAGCCGTCACGCTCGTTGCTCACGATCAAAGAGAGGCGCACCTCGACCGCCGTCGACGAGAGGACCAGAAGATCGAACAAAGTGTCTACAAAAAGATCGCATCGAAATAAAGGCTGCGACGACGGCAGCGGAGCAGTTTTGTCCGAGGTCTATTAAGAAGAGAGCTTGCGGAGTGTCCGCGTTACGAGGATAAATAATGAGCCAAGGCGTCGTTCGTATTGACTCGTCTTTCCTAATGAGCGAACGGCGCTGCACAGGCGCGAGACCGAACAATGTGTGCAATCAAGAGAACCTCATGGCCTACGAGCGCTGCAGACGCTATACGCGCACAGTTCGTTAGCGAAAACAGAAACACTCGGTGTGTCCAGTTGGGGGAAAAGAAGAAAAGAACGGTTCGCGATTATTGGGCTTCGATTAGGCGTGCTTGTTTCGAAATGACGTGACGTTTACGTCATCGAAATTCGGTGTGTCTAGTCTGTACGCCTAATTAACGATACTTTCTGCGTCTCTATTTATTTCTTCTTGGAGCAGCGCTGTTCAGGTGAAGTCTAGCCGTAGATAAAAAAAATTATTGTCGTCATCATGTACAATTTTAATATTGTGATTGATCTCCTTTTTCTTATGCTTCGCTACCAGAATCCGTGCGCGGTGAGGGATGCAATAACTTGATGGGCTAGAAAACGAGTACACAAATAGAGGACGTAATAAATAAAAAAGAAAAGGTAAAACTTTTTGTCGGGCGATAATCATCACCTCTTCTGTTTCTCATTTCACTAACAACGAAAACTGTGTCACAAACGAGCATTCAAGAAAGCGCGCCTCCGATTTCTAACGGGTACCTAAAACCAGGCGCCAACCAGACGCGACAGAAACCGGCGTAAAAAAATTGCCCGCAGCTTCCCTCGGGGGAACACTGAGGAGGATGCGGAGCATATAATTGGTTAACGGGGTGTTAAAGTGCGACTTACTTGGTCGATGGCTAAATTGGTTAACGTGGTTGTGAAATGGGGTGTTAAATTGCGACTTACTTGGGTCGATGGCTAAATTGGTTAACGTGGTTGTAGGAGGGGGTGTTAAATGAGTGAACACGTACACACGTATGCGAAAGGGCGGCGCTGGTCGAAGGGACGTCGATCATTGTGTTTGTGGATTCGTTGGAATTCATTTCACCGCGACCTTGGACGTCGACGCGCCGTACAAACCAACCGACGAGCGGAAACTGAGCGAGCGAGCGCCGACCTTGAGTATATATACAGCTCGACGGCGCATGCACTGTCAGCTGTTGAATGTTCTCGAAGCTCGACGCCACATGCGCGTCCACTGGAGAATCAGGAGAATTGTAGATGTCGAACGCGGTGTGTAGAGGAGGAAGGGTGCACAGATGGTGGAGGAGTGAAGCGCGCGCGGTGTGTAGAGGAGGAAGGGATGCACAGATGGTGGAAGAGTGGGCGACGGCGCGACGGCGCATGCGCGCGCGTCAGCTGTCGAATGTTCGAGAAGCGGTGCGGACGGCGCGGACGGCGCACTACAAGGCGCGAGTATAAGATGCTTCCGCATCTAAAAAAGAAACAAGCATCAAACTACGCCGCGCGCGCGCCTCTTCACACCCTCGAAAACGCCGCCTCCACGCAACGCCGACTAAATTTCAAGGCCGAAAGGCTGCCGCAGTGACGTCAGAGGGTGGGGGCTACGCCGCGAACGCGGCGGAAAGCCTGCGTTTCGGTCACTATTTAGGAGAACCAACGCTCCCGCTCTCGCAGCTGCTGGGGCTTAACCCTTTCAGCTCTGGATTTTTTATTTTTATCGGGTACACTTTTTGTGCGCGTTTTTCTTGTAGTTAGGACCTCAGAAGATTACAAACAAAAAATTAAGCCACTGGTACAAGCATTTTCGGAATAATTAACGTGGCATGAAATTAGGTAATTAGGGCCCAGTGATTAAAAAAAGAAAAAAACGGCTTCTTTTTTCCTGACAAACAATGATGTACACAAATTGGAAAAAAAACTTCTTACTTTTCAGCCTTATACTCACTGAAACAGCTTCGGTACGTTATCCCGAAAATGCCGCTTACCCGGCTCAACTTAAGCGCCTTGGCTTCACGGAAGACCTCGGTCGCGCTTATTATTCGTTGTGGCTGATACCTCAACAAACGTGCCGCAATATTGGTGTCAATTGCAGTGGGGAGCATTGAAGAACTATTTCCCCAAGAATGAGCAGTATTATTTACGTTTCCGAGATACTAGGGGGGATGTTGTGCGGTGGTGTCAATTGACACCGCCAGGGCCGAAAGGGTTAATTGGGCCGAATAAAAGATGTGGAAAAAAAGTCTTACTGAGCATGCTCAGTTGGGCAACTAGGCCCCCAACCTCTGACGTCACTGCGGCAGCCTTTCGGCCTTGAAATTTTGTCGGCGTTGCTCCACGCCGACCAACCTTCTCGCATCTGAAGCTCAATGGGGTTTACTCTCATCTGTCGCCGAACGAACACGTAGAAACATCTCGTAGGGAAGGGGCGTGGTGCTGTGGAGTTGCGTCACGTGACAAGAGAGGTACCTACCGCCCTTTCCACAGTCTTGGCCGTGCGGCGCGCCGACGAAACGCCCATAGAAATTGCGGGAACCTAGCGGCTAGTGCATATAGGCGAGCTCCGGCGAGCAGCGGAGGAAGTCGCATCAGGAGATGAAGAGAGTTTTCCGCCAGCGTGCGAAGGCTTGTCTTACAAGCTGGAGGCGAAAAAGTGTATTTACCGCCAGTGGGTGAAGACGTGTTCTGCAGTCGGAGTGCGTGCGTGGCCGATGTGTTACCGGCGAAGAAGTTGTGTCATTGAAGTGTTGTTAGTGGATGACGCGAGAATTTCTTGGAAGAGAAACCTCGGGCGCAGCGGGACGATGACCGGCGCTGGACTTTGAGTGAATATTTCCTGGAAGAGAAGCATTCAAGCTTTGTTCCAAGAACTTTGGACCTGAATTCGTTTGAAGATCGTTTTACTCTGTGTCTTGGTTATATTTATTGCATGAGATAGCATTGTAGCGCGTGATATTGAGTGTATCTTGTTGTGTTGTGTAGCCCGTTGTTTTGAGTACCTTTTGATTAGTGTCGTATTGCATTGGATAACTGCCGAGTGTGCACATTTGTGATTTAATTGTTCTGCGTATCTGTGAATATATTTTTGTTTTGTTATCAACCCTCTGCTATTCCTCGTTCTTTGGATGACAGCCGGCGCTCACTGGCTCACCAAAAGGACCAATTCTTAATTGTCCATGCTTTCGTGCTGCGTTTCGAGGAGCCAATACGCCAGGCCTTGAAATCAGCCTGGCGATATCCTTTCTTATTAACGTATCATGTGACACTTTCCTAATCTGCTGTGTTAAAAGCGTCGAAAAAAAGCTTCTAGTGCTGTCGTGGTGACAGTCCACAAAACTCAATTGCTTATGAAATATTTACTTAAAATATTTAGTGGCAGACTGGAGCAGTGCTGCATCTTCCTGATCTATACGTACCCATTTCATTCACAAGGTTGGAAAACATGTATGCTCCGACGAGCGCGTTAAACTGTCATGTTTAGCGTAAACTACCTCGAAGTAAGTGAAACAGCTGCCTGCTCCAATGCTGCCCCTATCTGGTGCACTACAGCGCAAACACACACACACAACGGACGGAACACACACGACGAGTACGATCGCTGTGTTTGTTTGTGGTCCGTCCGTTGTGTTTTTTTATGCGCTGTAGAGCACCAGAGTAATGTACCAAAAAGCCTGACTCCCCACTTTAATCTTGTCCCTTTCCCTATATTCCATTTTGTCTATTCGCTTAGTGCTCACAGCTCGTGTTCGATCAGAGCCTAACTGAACAGCGTTACAGACGTGAAAAAAATTCAGGAAGATTGACACGCTGCCGTGGCTGTTGTCATAGCCGTGCGCACAGGTCTAGGCAGAAGGCAAGTGGCCCTCCTCCTTTGCTAGTCATGTAAAGGGGGCCGTGGACACGGCTACGCCAATCGCCTTCACTTCGTCACGTCTGAAACACTGTTCGGATACGTCTTAACAATGAGTCGACCAGCCCAGCCATACAAACATTTACTATTACGTAACACGACCTTCGAGATTAACGCGGCCATTTTGTGGTGTCATATTGCACACGCAGCTTCAACGCAAGCGGCACATTGGCAACGACATTGTGGCCATCGTGTTCCAAGAGGACAACACGCCGTTCATGCCGACCATGATTGCTTCGCACTTCCTGCATTCCTTCATTGTGGTCCAGCCCATCAGGACGGGACGCCTGCACCTCGGAAGGCAGAGGTATGAACACGCAACGTTCAAAGTAACGTCCCCTTTGCCACTTACCCTTAAAGTGCTGTTAACAGTTAAGCTGGTTAGTTTGGTGGTTAAAACTTGAGTGTGCAAAACGAGTACAATAAACTATCATGGACATGAACTTTCACACTCTTTCATTATTCTTTTTACTGTGAAGCTGCTTAAGACAACGTTACTAGATCTTCGGTTAGTTTTGCTCCGTCGTGCAAAACTCATCAGGTGGGTATGTGCCATAGGAATCGGGAAAACCTCAGTACGGGCCAAAACATGCGAGCGTCTGAAAAAAAAAATGTTCCTGGAGGGCAGCACGTAAAACAGAAAGAAAGAAATATAAAAAAAGAAAAATAGAAAGCAACGAAAAGAGATTGAAAAAAAAAGATAGAAAAGGATTTATAGAGAGCGATGAAAAGAAAAGAGCAAAAGTAGCAGAGCTAGCACTCATTCGCGCGAGGCTTGAAATAGCGAGGCTGGAACGAATGTGTACAGTCCAGCAAGACATCCAATAAGCTAAAGACAACCTAACTAGCCAAAGCTCAGAAGCGGTCTGTAAAACAGCATAGTTAAAAGCCTTAAAGCTGCCTAAAAGCGACATATCACCTAGCTAGAAGCCTAGCAACTACCTAAAGCTAGCAAAACCTAGAAGTAACAAGAGCCACCTAACTGAAGCTTACCAACGACCTACAAGCTACATAGATTTGACATAAGAACTGCCCAGTTTTGCTGTTTCACACACTGCGTGAGTTAGGGCTAACTTCGCAATTTTTTTTCCTTATGGTGATTGTCGCGCAAGGGAAAGAGCACTGCTATTTACAACGCGCCTTCGAGAGCAGCCTGAGAACGACGCCGGATGTGGTCCAGCACAGTTTTCACACTTAGGTTGACGCTTCGAGGTGCATTCTTTGTAATCATGTGCGCCCGCACATACCTTGCATCTCTTGGTTCCCCTGCAAGTCTTAGCCTTATGCCCATATCTCTGGCAGTTGTAACACCTTACCGCCGGCTCAATGTATTCCTCGACAGTGTGAACCGTAAAGCCGAGAGCAACTCTTTTTGGCAATGGCATGTCATGTCTAAACTGGAGTATTACATTTCGTATGGGCTGCATTGTGACACTTCCATCTTCATTTCTAACCCATCTCTTTTGTCGTGTGACCGAGATTACTCCAGCATCTTTAAGATAATCCAGTAGGTCATAATCATTGTATTCGAGTGGAACATCTCTTATCTTTGCTAGGGTCTTCATGTAAGACTGAGGTATCATCACTTGTACAGGCAATCCAGCCAGACTCTTGATCAGCAGTAACTTGTTTGCCGAGTACAAAGACCGTACTCCAACACAAAAACTTCCGTCTCTGTTGATTCTTGATGATGTCACTTTCTCATTGATAGCAGAGATTATCTCAGACGCTATGCGATTGGGATTCACCTTCCAGAAGGAGTCCTCGGCAGCGATTGGCATCATCACCTTCCAGAAGGAGTCCTCGAAACCGTTTGGCATCAGCGGCACAAAGAGAGAGAATTGTAAAAGGGTACCATAAGATACAAAAAGGTCCAGCACCCAATGCGGATATAGTCGAAGATGTTCCTGCGGCACAAAGAAGTGCAAAACAGTGGCGCCACGACTCTTACTCGGAAGTATTGAAGCGCTCAGCACCAAAACATCGCGTTGGAAAAGAAGTCCGGGCCCAGGAACATGCTGAAGTGGAACTTTCTACCAGGCCAGACACAGCCAAAGAGCCACTGACTACCAAAGGGAAGGGTCACAGCAGCTTGCTAAGTAAAACTTCTTCGAGAAATGCGATCTCGGCGGAGACAGCCGGAAGCGAGCAAGTCATTTTGCCAATAATCTTTGCGGCTCTCAAAGCAATTCTACGATCCCTGCCACAAGCAGGCTCTTTACCAGAAGTGAAATTGCTGCTAGATGTTGAGCATCTTCTCTTGTCGTAATCATGGCTACCGGACTATCTAACTGGTACAAAAGAAGTGCAATATTCCAGTGGAACTGCAACGGTTTGCAGAATAAGAGTGGAGATTTTCGGAAATTCGTCGCTCAGCACGGGTTTCCGATTTTGTGTATTTCCGAAACAAGAGTATCCACTAACTTTCGCTTGTCCAATTATGTGGTGTACCAAGCAGACCGTCCTGCTGCAAAAAGCAGAGTGATGTTGTGTGTGAGACGCGATATTCCGTCGACACTTGTGGCTACTTCAAAAACAGATGCGCCGGAATTTGTTAGATGCAAAGTGAAGTTTGGTAACGTTACTGTAACTGTAGTTAGTGTTTACGTGCACCCTCAAGCAAACGTTTCATACGCAGAGTTGGCTGCAGTGTGTAGATCTGACCATGATCCCATAATTATATGTGGTGATTTTAACGCGCACCATGAATTGTGGGGTAGTGAGCGTTGTAGTGTAAGGGGATCTGCTATAGTAAAATTATGCGAAGATTATGGTTACACTATACTAAATGATGGTTCTCCATCGTTTCTACGGGGGCATAACTACTGCAGCGTACTAGACATTACTGTGTGCTCCTCTGAATTAGCGGCTGGAGCAGACTGGACTGCAGACGCTGACACAAGAGGAAGTGACCACTTGCCAGTATTCATATATCACCCAAAGTTGAAGAAAACAAGAAATAACCGCACAACAAGAATCACAAACTGGGATATCTTTCGAGAACTACAGAGACAAAATCTTGAACCCTGTTCTGACGCAGAAACGTATGCATCTAAGATAAAAAATTTTCTAACAAAAGCAACTCGTACAGTACCCATTCCAGATGGGTATTCGGGTGTTGACGCTGAGTATGAGAGGCTTCGGGCAATACGACGCCGATCTGAAAGAAGATATCGCAGGTCAGGTAATTTAGAAGACTTCAAGGTTGCACAGAAAGTACACACTACAATGCGTAACCAACTGCAGAAGCTTTCAATCAAAAGGTGGCAAGATTTATGTGCCTCACTTTCCCCATTTACCTCGGCGACTCAACTGTGGAACATGGTACGCGCCCTCCGACAGCCAGTAGTCCACTCGAGACCACTACAGGCTCTAGCGCTGTCTCGAGGAGTTAGCGAACGGGTGATTGCCGAAGAATTTTGCGATCTTATACTGAGAAATGGAGAGACCGCCCAAACGAGCGAATATAAATCCTCAGCAGAATCAGCTTCGGCGGTTGTAACAAAGTCCTCTGCGATCAGTTCATCAGATCTGGATGACAGCTTCACACCAGAGGAGCTCCAATATGTGTTGTCTTCAGTAAAACGAACAAGTTCACCAGGAACAGATGGAGTTACATACGCTGCTCTTGCTAATTTGTGCAAAAAAGGAAAATTACACCTGTTGGACATCTATAATAAAATTTGGCAAGAAGAAAAAGTTCCGGAAAGTTGGAAGATATCAAAAGTAGTACCGTTGCTAAAGCCAGGGAAGAGCCCTATGCAGTTGGACTCGTTTAGGCCGGTTAGTTTGACAAGTTGTTTTTCAAAAGTGATGGAAAAAATGATCAATGAACGAATTTTATGGTGGCAAGACATGAAAAAACTACTACCAGAAAGCATAGCCGGCTTCAGAAGAGGTAGATGCACAATGGACTGCATTCTGGATTTGGTCACAGATGTGGAAAACCAACGAACGCAAGGGAACATCACTGTCGCTGTATTCCTTGATGTCCACCGAGCATACGACACAGTGAGTCACGTTCACGTTCTGGAAGGCATGGCGTTACAGGGATTCAAGGGCAAGATACTGCGTTGGATCGCTGACTTCCTGAAGCACCGGAAAATTTTTGTAGTTACGCAGGAGGGCCCAACGTCAGAACATGTCGTCAACCAAGGAGTGCCACAGGGCAGCGTACTAAGCCCTACTCTCTTTAATGCAGTCATGGCGCAGCTCCCGTATAATCTTCCACCCAACATCAGATGTTCAGTATATGCTGATGATATAAGTATATGGACGTCTGGTCCATCGTTTTTGGATATACAACAAACTCTACAAGAAGGATTGGATAATGTAGACCATTTTCTAAAACAAAGAGGTATGGCACTGAGTCTGGCCAAAACAGCCATACTTCCGTTTACATTAGAGAGACCTGGAAATTTCCAGATTATTCTGCAAAATCAGCCTATTAAAATGGTCAAAACTCATAAATTCTTGGGAGTAATTTTAGACCGGAGACTAACATGGTCGCCTCATGTCCAGTCCCTGGAACAAAAAGTGAATCAGGCCATTCGAATCCTCCGGCATCTCTGCGGGGCCAAATGGGGTGGTACTACAGAGTCGTTATTAGCCCTACATGTTGCCTGGATACGCCCCATCGTAACTTACTCACTGCCCCTGCTGCACGGACTCCCAGCCTCCACCGAAAGGAGACTGCACTTGTTATTGGCAAGGAGCTTGAGGGTATGTCTGGGTTTACCACGGTCAACTTCCAGTGATTTAGTGTATGCGGAGGCTCGAGAGCCACCTTTGGCAGTACTGCGAACTAAAGAAACATCTCGAAATTTATTTAGAATTTTCACGCAACATGAAAGTCATTTTTTATCTGGTGCACTAACACAAAGAACGGCAACGAGACTACAGGATACTATATCATCATTTCAAGCAGTAGTACCAGAATTTAAACAATGGAAACCTTCAAAACCACCTTGGACGCTGCCACTTCTCAACGTTATCCGTGAAATAGACGGCATAGAGAAGAAAGCAGCCATGGCACCTCTAGTAGCGGCACAGTTGGTACTTCATCAGCTTCATGTAATGCATAATGAAAAAACGAAGATATATACAGATGGATCATGCACAGAAGAAGCGTCAGCCTGTGCGGTCTTTATACCCGAAATTCAGGAAAAGAAGATGTACAAATTATCGCACAAATCTTCATCGACGACAGCAGAATTGGTGGCTATCTTTGAAGCAGTTAAGCTTATCTGCGAGAATCCAGATCCACGAAAATGGGTGATATGCACTAATAGCAAACCTGCTCTTCAG